GCATAAGGGGGGGCTGTTCGCTACTGGGGGGTCGGTTTGGCAGTTGACGGATTATTCTAGCACCTAGTCGGACGTTCCCATCGCTAACTGGTTTTCTGGGTTAGGTTGTGAACAACGTGTTTGGAAATAATCTCAGGAGGACAATCAGAAAATGAACAGAACACTTAAAGAGGATGGATGAAATAAACTATAAAATTCACATTTGAAGCGGAAAGATAGACGCACAACATTTATGGACGTAAAGATAACCCAACAGGAGGAAACCAGCCCACACAGATCAGTATTTATACCCCACCAGACACAAAACTCAGTCATCTAAACATTAGATCACCGAGCAGCAACGACAAGGAAACCAGAAGAAGCAGAACAACAAATAGCCTGAACCCGAACCAGATATCCAAGAATAACTGAAAAAGTGAGAAAAGCTACAAAAACACAAAATTAATACACCAACAAAACAGAATACCACCAAAGAAACATCTGGTGTTGTTTAGAAGATCCCATCCAAGCTCTGCAGGAAGACATAAAGAGAAGAAACGGGACGGTCGTTTAATACTCGACAACCGGAACGCTCAAGGGTCTGAGCCATAAAGCAAGAAGAAGCAGCCATCACACACAACCCCATGGAAGTGGGACGACTCTGGAATCAGGAGAACAACGACAAAAGCATCAAAGATGGATCCGAGCAGCCCTGGACCATGAATAGGGACGGGAAGTGTCCACGTTGGACCACATGTGATCAACAAGAAGCACGCAGGCAGTAGAAGGTGACATCTTCTCCATTTTCTAACAGCTGATCTGTGTTCACCGAGCTGTTGGCGGTTGGCCTTTCCAGCTGGTGGAGGTCCACACTTGTGTCTCTGGCGTCTGTAGACAGCTCTTTGTTCTTGCCCATGCCAGCGTGGAGACTGACGGGTGATGCTAGCTAACGAGAGCAGTCGAGGTGGGTTTTTAACCCTTTACAGGTGTTATCGTAGTCCAAAACCAAAGTGTGTTTGAGATGTTCCGATTTCCTAAACTATTCATTTTCACGCAGAAAATCAGAGAAAACAAAGTGAACAAATATGGACGTTGGCGCTGTTCTGGAAAAAGAAATCCCAAACTAAAATAACAGCAACAAGTTAAATGAGCATTATTGTTAAACGGTCTGTTTTTCAGCCTACAGGTCCCCTCTTCAGTATCGATCCCACCGGAGCTCTGACCTACAGAAGAGACCGTTGCTTCAAGGCCCTTCCAGGCTCACTTATCTAAGGCTGGTTGTTATTCACGGCACAAGACACAAGAACTTTTGAAACTCATAAGTTAAATAATCATTAAATAAACATGTGTTTATTGTCACTTATAATAATTACAATATAAATGAAATGCTTCATTAATCCGTGCTAGAATGACTGAAGTTTGAAATGAGCGTTATTTGTAAGTAGCGGCTACTTTCTCAGCGCAGAACAGGAACGCAAAACAGGAACTTAGGACAGAAATACATTGCCCAAAGGGAGGGGTGAGTATCAGCAAGGGGAACTTCAGGTTTCATCAGGTCATGTCAAACAGCAAGAAAACATCAGGTCACGGCAGGGCCATGACAGGCCATTATGGACATCTGTATTACTGTTAACAGTACCAGAACATGTTTTTGGTTTAAATGATCTAGTTTACACTCATGACAACTCTGAGGGGGGTGAATTTTTCCTCACTCTTCTGTTTAAGTGTATTAAAAGGCTAAAATTCTGTATAATTAATGAGCATCAGACCCACGTGACCACAGAGCTAGCTCCGTGGAAAGGCCTCAGTAGAGCCTCGGTCTGGCCTGGAAACTGCTCCGGGATTTTGAGTCTCTGTGTGTGTGTATTCTTGTTTGGATATTATTTGTGCAATTGTTGGACAAAATGACTTGCTGTGGCATTAATTGCACTAATAGACCGTCCAAGGAGTCTCCACTTCATGTTTTTCGGTAAGTAAAATTATATTTATGTATTTTAGGTCACTGCCGAGCTGAGCTTAGATTTTAACATGTACTGTTTAACCATGAAATTTAAATGTAATAGGGTAAAACCCAGTGCATTTAACATAATGCTGCACTTTAGAAAATGGGTAGAAATATAACATGTTGGTGGAGCTGGGTTCCCACTATCGGCTTGTGGAGGTCTCGGAGACCTCTGTGTTCCACCCGGTTCTACCCAGCGGTCAGCCCGGCGTATCTCTGACTCAGAAGCTCTGGTGTTGTGCACAGTTAACTCTGGTTGTAGCTAGGTAGCTACCTCCGTTAGCTTAGCTCCCACCTCAGCGTTAGCTTTGGGTTAGCTTCAGGTTAGCTTGTATCTAGTTCAACCGGTTGTCGTCAGTTGATCCCAGCCTTACAGCCCCACCCTCAGCTCCTCCTCTCTTCCCTTTTATGGAATTGTCTGGGCTTGACGGAACCTGTGACACGGTCAAAATGGCGGTAGTGGCCACCTCCCATTTTAGTACAAAAACGTGATATTGGAGCCTATGGAAACCCATTGTCCATATATGTATGTCGGTGGGTAGAACACAGGATGATTGCGTCTGATGCTTTCGGATAAGAATCAACTTCTTAGCTTAACGCAAACAAACCAAAGTTGTTTACACTCAGAACTCAGCTCCTGGATACGGGAGTTCTGAAAACATCATATTCACACACAGGCACCATACATCACATCTCCTCCACCCAGATCCATCCATCACAGTAAATATTAGTTAACTTTGAACATCTTAGGTGTGTTCTTGCTGTGTCTTTCTAAATCCATGCTTTCGTTCTTTTTTAAACACAGAAACAGTTTTGTTTACCTGTTAGTAGCTACAGTTTCGCCGACGTCTGCCGGCTTCTTCAGGCTGACGCTGATGGTGGCGCGTCACAGATAAACGGAGAAGGAAGTGACGCGCCACCATCAGCGTCAGCCTGAAGAAGCCGGCAGACGTCGGCGAAACTGTAGCTACTAACAGGTAAACAAAACTGTTTCTGTGTTTAAAAAAGAACGAAAGCATGGTATTAGTTAACTTGTCATGTTTTAATTGTTTGGGAAATAAATTCTTACTTTTACAACCCTGACTCCTGAATCAAAACGAAGTGTTTACAACGCCTGAATGAACAAAAATCCCACAATCTTCTGATTCAACATCCTACGACCACGCAGAACGATGTTCTATATTTATATAGAGTATCACAGCTTATTGGTCATAAGTAAAAGTAATATATTAAGCTCTTAAAGCTCTACATTTACCAACTCCTATGTATAGATAATTATATCTAGCTAATTTTAGATCATTATACCACTGGTCAAAAATACAGAATATATCATAATACAGCATATTTTATAAAAACAGATTATTATGGAATATTATTGAAAAGTTAGAGACTATTTCTGATCAAACATAGATTATTAGAATATTTTAGAATATTTTATATTTGAGGATCTGCCTCATCGTCATCTTCCTCCTGTTCATCATCATTATCACTGATGGGAGGTTGGTTGGTGCAATAACTGTCCCTCTCCATCACCCAGAGAAATCTTAGTTTAAACCTACAAAATTAATCCAACATCATAATTGTTATTATTACTGTTACCATGAATACTGAGATCATGTCTAGAAAACAAGATTTTACCTGAAAATGTTCACAGTTTCTGTTACTGGCTCAGGGCGCGTGTTCAAATATGAGTTTCATGCTAAGATTTCACCAGCTCCACTGACTTTAACATTTACACAAATCTATCGTATTTTAGCACAGCTAGTCCACCTGGTGATGTGAAACCTAGCATAGTTAGTTTCAGAGATCCGAGCGTAAACACCAGAGCAGCTTTCTGGCTCTGCAGACACACCCGTGTTACAGTCCCGCTCTGATTGGTGGAACGGTGCTGCGGCGCTAACTGTGACCCGCTTGATCTCTGATGATTGTTTGGGTGACATCCTGTCATTCTAAGAGTTTGTGAAAAGGCCCACCGACATCATTTATGATGTCTAAATATGGGCGTTGGCCCTATAAAGGGTTAAAGGCAGACGTGCTCCTCACTGGAGCGGTGTAGATCATGACATAAATCAAAGTAATTATGATTAAATGATTTATTTTATTTGGAATGAACTTTATATCTCAGCAACCTCAAAGTGCTGCAGAACATGAAGGATCAGCAGCATCAGCAGCAACAAAACTAGAGTTTTAAATGTTCTTATCACGAGATAAATCTTAGGGCTCTGTTTTAAGTATCTACTGTTTGTGGCGCCCTCAGGTGGACAGGTGGGGCATTCCACATTCTCAGACCCGTGGATGAAAAGGCCCGATTACTCATGCTGCTGCACATTTAGAGTAAGTTACTCACATCGAGTAACTGGTACTGACTAGATGTTGGTGCAGGTACTCTGTAATCTGTAGTGGATTACATTATAAAAGTTACCTTCATGGACATAACGCCAAACCAGAATCTGCAGCGTGGATGGTGGGATGTCGTGTTTGCATTCAAGTGAGCTACAGTTTTCCACACAGACGCACTCTGAGCGTAAAGTCTCCGCAGAGCCGATAATCACGAGTAACTCGCTGTAAAACGACTTTATGACAGGTGACAGCGGACTTACCTGCACCGTGTCCGGCAGCGCCGTGTCCAACATGGTGAGGACGGTCAGGTACGTGCCGAGGTAAGGGACCACTCCACTGGAGGTGCTCTACAAACACAACGATTGGAACAACATTTACCTCCTCATCCCAGCCAGGCTCACATCTCTGTCTGGAGGGCATGAAGGGATCATGTTCTGTCCGTTCGTGTCTGTTTGCCCCGCCCCACTCCCCTGGAGGCATCTGAAACCTCGTGGGCACTGAGCACCACTAAAAATAGGTCTGGGTCTGGATTCTTAATCGGGTAAATCAACTCTTTTAGCTCTGTCCTCATCGCCTCTGTGAGAGTTCAGGTTTGGTGTGACAACCGTTACCCAGCGAGGCCGGCCCTCTGTCCTGTTGATGACAGCCAGAGCTGCGTTCACCAAGGTCACAGGCAAACGCGACGGGGCTATTCATCAGCTCACAACGTCCTATTGAACTACCTGCAACATGCACGAGCCCTAGCCCTAACCCTAACCCTAACACGATGTGTCAATTTGTTAAAATAAATGAGATTTATCCAAATTTACCCTGCCTTGTACACTAATTTTAAAACGTCTAATCCTAAACCCTTAACCGTAATCAACATGATTCCTCTCCCCTCCTTACTTTTACAGAAATGAGGAGCCTTTAATGTCATTTCACATTGTAAGGAACTAAATGGCAATGATGTGTTTTTTGGCTGGATTTCTTTATATGAGTATGCCGTTTTGACTCCTAAAGAGGCCTAACTGGTGTTAGTAAAGGCCCAATTGACGCTGTTCATAGAAGGTTGAGCGGGGACGTCTCTCTGTAGCCAATAGAGTTGATGCTTAACGTTGTTTTGTGTTGTTTCCTGAGAAGGTTATGAACAATGTTCTGAAATATGGAGGTTTGTTAGTGCCACACAGCCATTTTCACTTTAGTCTCTAACTCTTAATTCTACCTATAACTATAACCAAGACTTCTTGTGTTGTTTCCTGAGAGGGTTATGAATAATGTTTTGAACTAAGGAGGTGTTTTAGTGCCAACCCCCCCATTTTACTTTTAAACTTTAACCTTTAACTAAAACTCTACCCTTAACCAAGACTTCTAGGGTTTTGTCCTGATAAGGTTATGAACAATGTTTTGAACTATGGAGGTCTGTTAGTGCCACTCAGCCGTCTTAACTTTAGCCTCTACACTCTACACTCCAGCTCTAGCCTTAACTAGAACTTCTTGTGTTTAGTTCTGATTAACTTACGACCCCTGGTGACCAATTATTGTTAGGCTAAGACTAATAAATAATATTATATTTTAATTCTGGATGGTTTTATTACTACCTGTCTATCTGAATTTTAAATTCTACCCCTCACCCTTACCCTATCCTAACCCTAAAACTCCGTGGGTCTAATTCAGTAGTCTTTTTCTGTATGCTACTAGTCTCCTACCTAGTGTAAACTTAGAATCTAACCCTCACCCTACACCCCATCCTAACCCTAAGGTTTGTGGGTGTAAATCATTAGTCTTTAGCTGTATGCTACTAGTCTCCTACCCATTGTAAACCTAGAATCTAACCCTCACCCTGCACCCCACTTCTAACCCTAAGGTCGGTGGATTTAATTCATTAGTATTTAGCTGTATGAAATAATGTTCTTAAAACTATATGGGTTAGGTAGTGCCACTCACCCACCTCACTTGTAGTCTCTAACTCTGACCTTCAGCTCGAATCGTAACCAAGATCTCTTGTGATTAATTGGGATTTGTTGAGATTAATGCTTTAAACTATAGAGGTTGGTTAGTGCCACCTATCCACCTTTGAACCCCTAACCCTGAAGTTTAGTTCCAACCCTAACCAATCTTACTTTTTAGATGCTAACCCTGAGTTGTAGCGCTAATCTTAATCTAGACCCCTTGTGGCCAATTAGTATTGATTTAAGAATAATGTTTAACACTATGGAGGTTAGGTTGTGCCATCTACCCACTTTACTTTTAGCCTCTAAACTCTACACTCCAGCGCTGTCTGTCTGCTCATCTCTTTTCCTCTCCCATTCCCTCTCCTGCACGTAGGAGGAGGAGTTGGGAGAGCCAGGTTTAGCCTAGCCCGGCTCAGGTGTGGTTGCTCGTCAGACCACGACGCCACATCTGTTACCTGTTCCTTCTCAAGTTCTTTTCTATCCCTGTTTTTTTCTCTTTTTCGTAGCCTTTATTCTGTTTTTCTCGTTTGTTTTTTATTTTATCTTTTATATTTTTCTCTACTCGGCTCTCTTACTCTTAATCGATACGAACCAACAACTGGAGGGGAGTTTTTGAATGACATGCGCCGGCCCGTGCATTGCCAGTGAATTCCTAATCCAAACTGTTTTGGTCAAGGTACTGATTCAGGGGGATGTCACTGTGATACATCTACTCAATCTACTCAACCTAACCCTAGCCCTAACCCTAGCCCTAGCCCTAGCCCTAGCCCTAGCCAGCACGTAAAAGAGAGGGTGTGTCTCTTCATCAACCAGCTCAGTGGTCTAGTGGTAGAGTGTCCATCCTGAGACTGGGAGATTGGGGTTCAATTCCTGGTCGGGTCATACCAAAGACTTTGAGAAAAATGGGACCCAGTGCCTCCCTGCTTGACACTCAGCATTAAGGGTTGGATTGGGGGGTTAAACCACCAAATGGTTCCCGAGCGCGGCTTGTCTGCAGCTCACCGCTCCCCCATGAAAGGCAGCTGCTGGCCCAGAGCTGCAGACGTCTACGAGGAACACCGTGTGCTGCAGAGCTCTTCGTCTGTCAGTTAAACATTTCTGAAAACGCCGACTCGACACAGAAGCGTTGTAATCATTAAGGGAGAGAACCCTTTCTGAGGCCTTTACGAAGCTGGCTACTTTTTTCTGTCTTCATCCACATCCAGCAGGTTCTAGCTCACATAAATGTGGTCTATGACGTCATGAAGACACTTGGGAGACGTATGAGGAAGGTCCAGGAAAACGAATGTCCCTCTGGGAACGTCAGACTCTCATTCGTCTCCAGTCGGTCGCAGTTTGGGACACCGACCATTCCCAAAGCAGGGTTCTGGGACATCTCCATGGATTTACATGAGGAACTTTAAATTCTCATCTCAGCCTCCTGATCCAGATGTTCGTGGGATGCTTCTCACCTCCACCAGGAGCTCCTTGTTGGTGAGAACACAGTTCTCATCAGAAAACGTCTCCCAGAGGTTATGAAAGGTGGCTGTGCTGTCTCTGCAGAAGGAAACCACGACGCTCGGTTAAACATTTACGCCCTGGAACCGCTGATGTCCTGAACTAGGTGGACCACAGCTTGGGTGAGGGCTCATCTTTTCTGAGTAAACAACTGGATTCGTCCCTGGAGACAGAAATGTCCCACCTGCACACAGCGGCCCAGGTCTTCCTCAGCCGGTGGACGGCGTTGGAATGAAGAGCCGACAGAATCGCTTTCAGGGATGAGAAGTTCTTCAAGCGACGACATTCCTGCAAAGGAAAACGTGGCACTCAGAGATCCATCGCACCTGCTCTTGGTGCTGCGCGGTGTTACCTCAGAAACGTGCCTCACCTGTGCCACTTTGATCCACTTCTCAACGATGCAGGCGCGCTGCGCTGGCGTGGTGGGCAGCGGGCCGGAGCTGCAGGTGCCATCGGCAGGTGGGGAGAGCAAGGACATGATGACGCGGTTGGTGACAGCGTTGAACTGAGCTACGGTGGCGCGGATGGTTGGGGACATGTTCTCCTTCTTGTCTCTCTGGGACCAAACGCAGCCCAGACACTGGTAGGGCACCACTCTGATGAACAGAGCCTGGAAAGGCAGCATCAGCTGAGCTGAGGGTTAAACCGCGTTACGAGATGAGGAATGTGGTGTGACCTACAGAATCGATCCGAGTCAGCTGCTCAGCGATGGCTGCAGCGGAGACATCCATGATGCTGCTTTGGTCTGAAGAGTTCTCGCAGCCTGAGTCCTCATCTGCAGATGCCTCCTCGTCCTGCTGGAGCGCCGCTAAAGCAGCTTCTGAATGAGAACAGTGAAACGTTCACACTGGCTGGGTGTCTTGTTGCCAGGATGACTGGCTGGTTCAGTGGAGTCACCTTGTTCCTGAAACGTTCTGAGCATCTGCTCGGCCTGCCCGGCCAGTGAGCAGAAGTTGGGCTGGTGGTGCATGTCTCCACGCACCGCAGCGCTGACAGCCAGGTGATCCAGCAGCAGCAGGAGCGCCGGGTGCAGGGGAGGGTCCCTCAAGTCCTCGCTGTACTCGTCCAACCACGTCTGGATGAAGGTCAGCAGACAGCTGGGGGGGGGGCAGCAACAGTCACACCCTGACCCCAACCAGAGACTCGTCGGAGTATGGGGTTAGGGTTAGGGTTAGGGCGAACTTACCTGTTGGAGCAGCTGCTGCTGTCCAGACCCAAAGAGGCGCTCTCCCTGTGAGCAGAGAAGAATAAATGAGGTCATTTATTTTTGGAGCTGAGCTCAGTTCTGCTAACCGGTCTAAAGCCTCCGTGGTTCCACACGAGCACCTGCAGCACAACCGTATCATCACATCTAAGCCGGGATGAGGTCATGTAGTGACAGCACCAAACCCAGCGTCAGGTAGGAGACTCCTAACCCCGCCCCAATCCAGTTCAAGATTAACGCGACCGTCACCCGGTGTGAGCTAAAGGTGGTGTTCTAGTGGCCACGCCTCCTCCTCCACACAAACCTACATCTGGAAGAGCAGCTGGATGAGTTTGGTGGTGCTGGTGAAGGTCCTGTAGGTAGACAGGAGGATCCTGCCGTAGTCCTGCTCCTGGTTCCTGCCCTCCAGGAGGTGAGCCACCAGCTGCTCCACAGCGGCAGCCTTCAGGCGCCGCACCTTACAGGTTCGGTACTGGACGAAACCAGAGCACGGCGCGCTTGGGTCGCTGGGTGGAGGGGAGCTAGGGACAGGTTCCCGGTGCAGCGTGACACCGTACACCACACCGTCCTCCACTTCCTCACCCCACTCCTGCACTGGATTCTGGGAAGAAGACAAAAGGATGGGAAAGGGTTTTGGTTTGATCCTTTAAACACAAAGTTAACACGTTCATTTACAGGTTAAACACACCTGGATGAAGTGGTGTTTGTGTTTAAAACAGCAGAAGGTCAGGGGTCAGAGGTGGAAGGAACTAGGATAGTAATAAACCAGTATGAGCAAAACCCACACACACACACACGCATGCACGCATGCACGCACGCACGCACGCACACACACACACACACACACACACACACACACACACACACACACACACACACACACACGCATGCACGCACGCACACACACACACACACACACACACACACACACACACACACACACACGCAGGTAAGAAACCTGAACTTTCCTAGAATCCTACTGTAGCTCACGGGTGTGTGTGTGTGTGTGCGTGTGCGTGCGTGCGTGCGTGCGTGCGTGCGTGC